GTGTCTGCGAATCACTGCTCCTTCGTCCGCACAGAAAGGACCTTCTGAAGGAAATCGTTACTGGAGATGAGAGCTGGGTCCTCTACGTCGACCATACTCGCAAGAGTCAGTGGCTTCCACGAGGAGAATTGCCGCCACACGAACCGAAACCAGGGTTCCACGAGAAGAAGGTTCTTCTCTGCTGTTGGTGGGATTCAGAAGGAATGTTGTACAATGAGCTCCTGCCAACCGGTACCACCGTGACTGCCGACGTCTACGCTGCTCGACTTCAGAAGTTGGCTGGCGTCATTCAAAAAGAGCGTCCCAAACGCGAAAAAGTTCTCCTTCTGCATGACAACGCTCGTCCACGTGTTGTGAAGATAACTCGCCAGACGATTTCGGAACTGGGCTGGGAAGTTTTACCCCATCCAGCGTATTCTCCGGACTTGGCCCCTTCCGACTTTCACTCGTTCCGGGCCCTCAAGAATCACCTGCGGGACAAGGCCTTCGACGATCGAGCACAGCTCGAAAATGATGTCGGCAGTTTTTTCTTCGCTTCGCAATCGCGAGAGTTCTGGGCAAAGGGCATCGAGCAGTTACCCGTGCGTTGGGAACATGTCATAGACAACAATGGTCATTACATTGTAGACTGAAATTGCATTTCAATAAAGTTATAACATTTTGAAAAATTTGCGCAGAGTGTTGCAAGACTTTCTTTCCAACCCAATAAATCAATGTATCTATAAAAAATAAAGAATCATCAAATATGTTAAGGAGAAAAACATACAGGGTGATTTTTTATTCATGGGACCATTATAAATACTTATAATCTTGGAAAAAATGGAATTAGGTGCATGAAATTTCGCATCAAGTATCCATAAACATTGGAAAGTTGAAAACTTCCTTTCCTCCATGAAAAAACCTGTTCAATGTGTCCTCCTTTGTCCGCAATCACCGGCCGTAGGGAGTGGTGTAATTCTGCACAATTGCCAGCAGAATATCCCAAGAAATGGAGTAGACTTCACGTTCTGTGGCCGCCTTCGAGTCTCCAAACGTGCATGGGTTTAATCTTGACTCGAAGACTTTGTCCTTTAGATATTCCCAGAGGAAATAACCACATGGATTAAGATTGGGGGGGGGGGGGGGGGGGGGAGNCAGAGGAAATAACCACATGGATTGAGATGGGGGGGGAAATGATGGCCATACTAATCCACCGCTGCGGATATCAGGAAATCTGCTAGACGGCATTCTGGTACCGGAGTACTCGTGAAGGAAGTCCAACGCAATGTGTGACTATTTTTCTCTGGGGATACCAGAAGGACAAAGTTTTCGAGTCAAGGTTAAATCGGTGCACGTTTAGAGGGCAGAAGGAAGCCACAGAACGCGAAGTTACTCCATTTTCCTGGATTCCCTGCAGTGCAGTTGCGCAAAATTACGCCGCACCCCTGCGACCGGCGATTGCGCACAAAGGAGGACATAATGAACATGTTTTTTCATGGACTATAACTTTCCCATGTTTATGGATTGTTGATGCGATATTTCATGCATCTAACTCTATTTGTTCCAAGATTATAAATATTTATAATGGTCCCATGAATAAAAAATAACCCTGTATTTCTTGTACTTATTCAGAAATCAAATCAAATGAATCGGACACGGGGCGGCTCAAGTGAATCGCCCTTAATAACTTGCAACTCCATGGGGTCGTTGCTTCAAATGACCCCAACAGGATTTATGGGGCGTCGATGAATCCAAGTCGGTGGTAAGCAGCAAATACTCTCCAATCTCATTTTCTCAACTCTCTATATTTATCATTAATAATGTAAAGAGCTTTTGAGGCAGATTTTCGGATCGGAATTCTGCCTCAAAATCGAAATCTGATCGAATTTCTGCCTGCAAATTTCGATCATAAATTTTGTCTGCTCAAAGGTTCTCAGAAGTTCTCGCGCTAAGGTGTACATACACATATTCCCAGTCTCTCAAGAAAAATGGGACCCCCCCCCCGGGACTTCGGAACAAGAGAAAGAAGACGTCCCAGTGGCAAGACATGTAACATAAAGTAGGTATTAAAAATATATATTAAAAAAAAACACCATCGATATGGATTCATTTTTTGCTTAAGACACACCACACATGAATTTTACAAAAGTGATATTGCAAGGAAAAGGATGACAAAACATTTGAAAACGGGGAAGGACGGATGATTTGCACTGGCACGAAATGAACGAGGAGGAAGACGTTTGCATCGTTTACAGCTGAGCAAATTCACCACATTGCTTGAACTTCCTGCGGATGGAAAAAAAAAATAAATATATATTGAACCTCTTCATAGACTGAGGAAAAGTCGGACCGGGAAAGGTTTTCTCTCTGAGCAACAGCTTTAGGGCTATAAACCTCGGCAACTGCGCGAGCCACCTCTTTAGGCAAAGCTCTTTTGGAAGTAAGAAGTTCGGTAGGCTGAAGTAGTAGTAGTGGGCAACTTCCGATCTCCGGAGACTGAGACAAAACCATGTTATTTTCATTCAAGTTCCCGTGAGTCAGAGATTCGTGCTAAACTGGACAGACCTGCGGATTCTACGATTGAAGACGGCCATGGAGATTCCGAAGATTACAATAGCGATCACAAGCACGGAGTCGAGAAGGTAAATTTGGGATTGAAGGGACAGGGACAAGGGACCCCAGGGTTCCACGTCCATCGTTGTTGGCTTCTTCGGGTCATCCTCGTCGACCATCATCGTCTCATTCCCTTCTAGAAAAGAACTCTCTCAGTTTAAACAGCACTACAGTGACGGTAAACCCCGTTCACAACTCAAAAGTTTTAGCCGAGGGTATAGACAGCAGTGCAACAGGTACCCCTGGAGCGAGCTATTTAACACACCCTCTGGGGGAGCTGCTGTTTGATTCCCCATAACTTCACCTTGAGATGTTTCTCCTTCCTAGAATATGAAGAAAAATCCATGTACCAAATCATGACATAGTAGCTCACATGCATCGTGGACTCAGTTCTGTTCACGTCACGACGAGCAGTCATTAAACAAGGCTCTGACTGCATTATGTAATAATGACTAGGGCCACAATTGAATGCACCTGTCTGTTTAGCAAGGCTGTGACTGGACAGTCGAGATCTCATTTCCCGCCATCGTGAAACAGGATGAATGGGAACATACCTGTTGTCCACTTCCGACTTCTTCGTCCTCCTCATCCTTTTTAACTTTTCGCCTCTGTTTGCTGTTTTTTACGTGAGGTACCACTAGGTACGACCTTGACCTTCGGTAGTTGCTTGGGATGGATATCGGTGCTGACCCGTTTCCATGGAAACGCACACGCGATATATGCACAAGTGTTGATGGACTACTGCATATGGTAACAGTAAGAGAAAGAAACACCGGTGAATCGATATGTCTATCCCTATCCTTTCCCTGCACTTCAACGACCGATTGAAATTGTTCCCTTTTTCAGCTTTCCTTTCTTGCCACGCTCACACGAATTTCTTCCTCCTTGTGCGATAACGTATCGTGCGTGCAGTTGTGTGTAGGAAGCAGAATAATATCCAGGTTGCAGGCAGGTAGGGAGGAGGGACCAGGGAGTAGGTTTCTGACCTCAATCCTTCCCGTCGTACAAGCGTACAAGCGTGATTTCCTTCCTCTCCGTCGCACTTTTCCGGGAAGTTTCCCTCACTCTTCCCATTTCCTGTTTCTTTTTTTCCCGTCATGAAAGCTTATAGGGGAATACAGGAGTTTCGTGCCTTCGAGGTATTCCCCCGCAGGAACACACCGACACACACGAGCTTTCAAGATTCGATGATTGCGCTTTTAAGAATGCTAGAACCATATAAATAGGCGCGGAAGCACCTATACCATTCTTCACATCTCTCTTTACTGAAATCGTAACCCACTAGCATTTCCCTCTGGCTGCACCCGGAGAAAGAACATCAAGTACATCCTACTCTCTCAAAGCAAAAATCAGTCCTGTGGTTTAGTAGATCTTGACTCTACGTGGTTGCAAGGAGGCGAGGATCGGATTTTTTTTTGCCTGAAGCACTTTCATTCTCGCCTAGTTCGTTTCATGAACAAATGTATGTACGGACATGTGGATGGATGCAAGCATAAATAAATTTATTAGAAACTGGCACTAAGAGTTCGATGAGAAAAATTATGGCATGATAGCTGGTTTTCTGATGTAACGAGGATAGTAGAGACAGTAGAGAAAGAATAGGTGAATTCAATTTCTTTTTAGGATTTGCTGTTTCGTATAGTCTCCACAACTATATTAAGCAAAAGTTTTGCAAGAAAAGAGAGGAGAGTTTTGAGCTCCTGAGACAGGCAAGAACTCACCTCTGGTACCCCAAATTATTATGTGAGTAGCTCATGTTCTTCGATGACTTTCATTTTACTTTTCAATTACTTTATACTTCATGGTTTATATTGGGTTGGTGGCAGTGCTTTTATAAACGCTATTGTGACGAAATTTTGATCAAATAGTGCACAAAAGAAATTCAGATTACTTTTACCTCGGAGCCCCCCCCCCCCCCCCCCCTTCATGTGCAGCATACTGCCATGAACGTCGATGCAACATTTTATAGAAATCAAGCTTAGAAATATAGAAATCAAGTCCCTCAAAAGAAAAAGGTTCACCTTCATGTCTTGTTCATCAGACTATGGTCATTCTTTTTTCTTTCTTTTTTTATTATAAATATACATGGAGAGGTGCAAAAGTAGTGAGACTCGTGCTTTTATTATGTCTTTCTTTCAATAAACGGAACCACAGATGGGAAAAATGAGTATAGAGGCAGGAAGACTACCTAGAGAAATAAAGCGTCTATATTCGCATAAAGATATAAACAAAGTCCTGCCCACATAATTACAAAGTCTCACTCCTTTTGTACCTCTCCTCGTATTTTCCCAGGAACCAAGAAGAGAGCATAGCTAGGATTCGGCATCAGTGATTTTCCCCACATTGTCAGATGTCTTGCCGGGTGTCGTCCATGGTTTCTTCCATTATCAGTAATCTTACCATTCCCGTTGCTCGTCCACCCGCGAAGTACTGTTGGAAGTGGCACAGAAGTACTACGTCTTTCTTTCGGTCGGTTGCTCAGGACGGAAGTTGAACTTCTTCAAAGCAAAGGTTTCTAGAGACGATTTCGAAGTTCGTAAACGTGCTGCATCACCATTCTTCTTTGGCAATGGTTTAACCTAGTGATTTGCTGATGTATTCTTACGACCTTTAACATGTTCTCCACAGACTCTACTTCGTTGCTTCTTTGATGGAAGATATACCTTCACTGCCCTGGATTTATTAATGCAAAACCGAAAAGTTGCTACTAATTCATTTGTAAATCATTGCAGGGCGAGGCCTAAGTCACTCTGCAGAGGTTTGACATATCCTAGAATGTTACAAAGGTCGCACGCCTAACCTAGCTTCGCCTACGCTAGCCTTCTCTGGTATTCATGTTAATTGTGCCCAATGGGATGTCTATTTAGCAAAATTTGAGAGCATAACCCAGGGCTCTAACTTATCTCCTCTACAAAAGCAGTGTTTTGTTTGATATGACATGGTGTTTTCCTTGTTCTATGATCATTGTGATTTCACAGTCATACCACCTTTAACCCTAGAACACTATCGTGGGGTCCACCAGATCTCAAGCACTGAAACATTTGGCAGTGACTGTTATCCTGCATTAGTGTTCTAACTAGGGTAAACATGGGTCACATTTTCCTAGTTTCTTCATTTCTCCTGAGAAGTTTCTGAACTTTTGCCTCTTCATGTTGATTAAGTCCCAATTATCTTCCTGACCAAAATTGTGCTGATCTAGCTGTCTTTATTTATTTTCCTCTATTAACATCTCTATCCAATTGAGTATCCATTCTAAACTGTAGCTGCTTTTGATCCAAAAAGTTATCAGAAAGTCATTATAACCATACTTAACAACTTATTGCTACACAGGCCTAATATGCATGGGATCCAACTCCTTGCATTTTGAATGTATACTTGTGGTGAGAGTCTCTGACTATGCTGTCACCTTGAGGCTTGCAGAATGATGCATCATCATGATTTGACTGAACTTGTGCAATATCTGGGAGCAGAAACATGCTCTTGGCTGGGTTGTAATGACTTTAGGAGTTGAATGAATTTTGATCACATCCCATCATGTTTCCCTTCTAAGCTTTGAAGAGGCATAGTGATTGGCTAATATTTTCACCAAAAATTTGTTGAAGATATAATGCTAGATTATCTAGGTAATAATGTATTAACAACTGTTAATGTATTATTATAACTGTATTAACAACTTAATATAGGAAGGAGTATGCACTTGGAGTATGTGCTTGGCAATAGAAGATAAGGAATTTTAATAAGGTTTAGGATATGTTTAAGCAAATGGAGCAGATCTGGAAGGTGGAAAGACCCAGGACTCACTACCATGCCTTTGATCCCTGATGTTGCTATCAGCTGGCTAGGATGAAGATCATGAATTTCAGTTTTCATGCTTTTTTATATAGGGTGGGCAATAAAAAACAAAGCTATCATTTTTGGTGAGTTATCAATCTGAATGTAGGCTGCTGATTCTGATGAAATTTGGTAGGCACATAGGGTGACTCAATTAGGGTTTGTGTGCCAAGTTTCAAATAAAACTTCCAAAAACTGAGATTGGAATTTAATTTACTTTTCATGACCAAACCAAAACAAAACACAAACAAAATGCACAAATGCCAAAAGTGGAAGTGCACAATTTTGTTTAGGTAGGTTTGTTTCAACTGAACAGATACTTGATGTGCCCTCCATTCTGCTGAACACAAGCCTCTTGTCTGGGATGTGACAGATCAATTGTTAAATCAATAAATCTTTGAGGCAGTGCCTCCCAATCTTCCTCTATAGCATCATGCATGGATGGAAGGTAATTAATTCAGTCCTCCCTTTCATCTAGACCTCAAGTTCATATTGATTAAAAGTTGTCGTGTAAAACAGTACCCAGTAGTCTTCTATTAATATTGAGGATAGTAAAATCTCGGTCTTCCGACTTTAAACCGTATTTTTGAGGTTAACACAGTAGGAATAAGCCTACCAAACTTACTCAGAATCGGTAGCCTACAATGAGACTGACAACTCACTAAATATGAAAGCCTTGGTTTTTTTTCCCACCCTGTGCAATACCCAAGCAAAGGTGTAATAGTAAAGGAAATTTTGTTCATTCCCATTTAGATGATGAATCTAAGAAAACAGATGAGTTGATGAATGGATTTCACAGTCCAAATGGTAAGGGTGATACTCAAGATGGGGTAAGTGAACCTTCTGTGAGTACTGGAACCCCTCCAAAAAAGCACAATCTGAAAGATCTGAAGAGCTTCAGAAAAGGAAGATTGAACATGAGAAACAGTCCATCTTCCAAGTTTGAGTCTGATTCAACTTCCATCATGAGCCCTGGTAGGTTTATGGATCTATCAGATATACCTACTTAATATAAAGAATGTAATATTCAGTTTTTTTTTGTATTTAAGCATCTGACTCAGTTCGAACTGTACCAGAGACGCCAGAATTTCCACATGTGACAAAGCAAGAAGGGATCTTCAGGATGGATGACAAGGATCATGATGATTCAAGTCCAGAAAGCCCATTTTTCTGCAAGAAGGTCTGTAGTTCATAGCAACTTCATGCTCTTTTTCAGAATTGTTTGATAATTATTTTTTAAAATCTCTTCTCTAGAAGCGCCGCATAATTTTTGAGAGTGATGGTGAATCTTCTGATGGTGAGAGGCCTGAGAAGAGTCCCACTTCTCACCTCACTTCGCATTACACAGTAAATGAAGACAGTGGAGAAGAGAGGGATATAATTACCAGAAAAGGCACAAAGAGAAAGCCTCTGTTGAGTGATAGTTCTGATGAGGAGGAGAGACATAAGGAATAAGATTGGCTATAGGAATAAGATTGGCTCCCAAGCAGGAACACTATCCTGTACCTTTATTATCGTTTTGGTTATTGCAGTCTCCTCTTGTTCATTCGAAACAAAAGAAAAACCGTCATCATTTCGTGGCCCACCCTGTATGAACTGGCACAAAAACAGAAATGTAGTAATGTGAAAATCATTTTTCAAAAGCTTTCCCTTTCCTCAACCTCAACCTCACCCCTTCTCTACGGAACTCACTAACGTTAGACTTAGGCTTAAGCGACGGACTATCTTCGGATCAGGTCTAGGCCTACCTTTTTTCGTTCAAACGAAACTCAATCCTCGACTTACGGGGCCAATTAGGCCTAAAATAATTCAATCCTTGTCGTACGTCTCGTTGAGAACGTGTAACGTTAGGAAAATCGCAGGCCTATTCAGTCTCTCATAGCCCTTTTAAGACAGAACGAGTAACTTTAGACTGATTAGAGGTCTGTTTAGAGTTTCATGAACCTTTTCGGTGCGAACAAGGAATGTTAGGCACATCCAGAGCTCCTCAAACCGTCGCGACCAGTTCTGGGGAGAGAATGGCTCTAGGAAGTATGAAACACAACTTGGGCGCCATCTTATTAATTCAGGGTTGTCCGAATGAGATATTTCTACATCCCGCCAAATCGATCAGCCGCTGTTAACCATCGTCTCAATCTCAGTTCATCTCATGAACTCGGCACGAAATTGTCTCATACATAAAAAAACAGGAGATCCTAAGACTGATCAAAGACCTAAGACAATCCTACTATTAGATTGATACTAAGACCAAAGAAGTCATGAATCTGACATAACTCCGGCACGATACCCAGCAACACTGGAGGACGGGACCGGAGCCATCAAGCTAAACCTAAACGAACGACAGTTAATTTCATTTTTTTTTATGACGAAGTAGTGCACTGCAAGCACAAAAAGCTTTTCGTCTCCTTCAAGCAAATATCTTTCGTTTGGTTTGGTCTCTTTCCTCCTGAAACCCCAGGAGTTGCTACCCAGAGGGGAGAAAAAGAATACCGGTATGAAATTCACATCGCATTATGGAATGATCTCCGAAACCTTGGAGAGACGAAGTTTCAAATTCGCTGGAGCGATTCTATGTTGAGAGAAGAAGAAGCATGCCATATCTCGTTCCTGTTAATGCTCTGAAAGAGGAATACGAGGAGGTTGAATTTTGTTGCGGGAAGGGGTTGAAGAAAGATAATAGGCGCTACCAAAGCCTATTGATTTTGGCATCTCCTCAGCATTTTCATGAGCTACTCACCTTACTCACCTGAAAATATCGAGATGCATCAAGGAATCAAAAGGCTTTACTCTTTCTGCATGCATCTGCCCTCTCAAATATATCAGAAGTTGACAATGAGTCAAGACAGAAATAGCCTCTAGAGATGAGAATTAAACTTCTTGCAAGACAACATCTTCTTGACCGACTGACACAGAATGCACGTACGAGTTAAGGTAAAAACTGAGTTATCATGACTGGCAATCTACCTCATAGTACCTTGTTCCTCGATCCAAACTTCAGAAGTTGATACTTCAGAATTCTCAATCTCGCACCGATAGAAAGAGGCACTGAGGAGACCTGCAGCGTGGCATGCAACCCTGCTGCTCATTTCCTCAGTGCTCTCAAGGCAGATGGAAATTGGAACTCCCAAAAATGCATAACCTCCTTTACTTTCTTTATTCAGAGACGTACGGGCTCGTGACATTGTTCCAGCATGCTAGTCAGCATTATGGAAAACTTGGGGCAGTTTGAAATCAAGTTAATTGTTTCCCTATAATATTGCAATGCAATTTTCTTTAGGGGTGCTTAACATATTGTAACATACGGATAAACAAATTCAAGTTTTAGACATCCGCCCGTCCATGACTCGAAGAATTCCAGCTACTGGCGATTATAGGTTACTAGAGGTGGTGAAATTGGCTTAGGAAAGCCGTTGCATACATAAAAAAGAGATTCATTTCAGGTTGGGAATTTGTTTTTCAGGGATAAACCTCTAATGCTAAAAATGGTATTAGGAAATGTTTACTTTAAATGTTAGGAAAATTCTGAAAAGAATTTCCATCGGAGATAAAACGCATGTGCATCGCTGCAAACACGGTTGTAGATTCTAAAATAAAAAAAATTTGCAAATGCATGCAATTTTGCGTTCATGGATCGGAATGGGATCGTCGAGACCCATCCCGTGGTCTTTCTTTAGTCCCTTGTAAATTTCCGGGCACAGAGACAGCGAGGCTCAGAGAATATCCGAAAAAAAGAATCCAACTCTTTCCTTCTTTCACACTCGCTCTTACCATTTGGGAACACCAGTCACCATACGTTTCTCGCGAGCAAAGACACCGATTCATGAGATGAATGATCGACGAGGACAAACTATTTTTTGCCTGTTCAATCATTCCCGAGGGCTGGTTTCCAGTTTAATGCACAAGAGCAGGGAATCAGGAGCACTTTGCCTTTTTCGACGCCGCAAGGACATTCATGATCTTACTAAAAGATTGCAGAATTCTCTCGTCATTATAACGAATTTGATTAATAAGCGCATCAGCGACAAGTACCACCAAGTACTATCACCACGTAGAGCACGTAGAGAGTGTCAAAATTGATTTCAGCCCAACCGGATCTTCCGAATTCTACCGAATTCGGAGGAGATGAGGAGAATTTTCCGTCTTTCCGTCTTCTCCCTCGTCCTGCTTTCTTTCTCGATTTTTACTGAAGCAGACCGTGCCACCGCATACGTCCCGCAGTGAAGCGCCTGGCTTCAGCGGAGAGCTAACGACTCTCCATCGATGACTCTCGTTCGACTGCTACATCCGATGAGAAATTCTCGGGGTTACTGGTTCGGGCGTCAATGTTGGATTTCCCTTCGGAAAACAGGAAAAGAGTTACTCTAGCGCCGAGACGTGCCCGATTAGTTCGTACTTCCCGGACTCCTCGATGGAGCTGACGCCTTCGGACAAATCCGTAGGCGTCTGTATGCTCAGCCGTTGCTGTGCCATTGCCCCTGTGGCAGAGAGCCTATTCTGCGTGTGGCCGAAATATACATGAAAAATCGGAGATGAAAGCATCCCACTTTCATTCCGTGTACGCCGGTTACTTCACGTCGAAGTTGAATCCAATCGCATCTGCGGAAAGGATCCCCAAACACTGTATCCAAGGGGAACGTCTGCTGCGAATGCAGTCATCGCCCAAAACGCGAAACGAGATCACCCCAGGAGTAGATTGATGGATGCCTGCTGCCTTTTGCATTATTTCGCGGAATCGATCGACTGGCCTTGAAATTTTCTTCCTTTCTTCCCGTCTGTGATTTTTATTTATTCATCATGGACACGTATGCTCTGTTCGCCTTCGTCTCATCCATTTCCCACTCCTTTTAAATTATTCATATTTGTCGGAACTCGTGCCTACAAAAAATGCCCGCACGACCGAGACTACTCAGCGGGGGGGGGGGGGGTCCAAAGAATGTTATTACCACGTAATATGAGTATAACAAATATATATAAAGGAAATATTTGTCATGAGGCCTTCTTCGTGCCACAGTGTCGGAATGCAATCTTCACCTTTCCTATCGAAGAAAAAGTCGACAGATTTTAACATATCAAATATAAAAATTCCTGACTTGTTCTCTCGCCGTGCTGTTATCGCGAAAGTACAAGTTTATAGACCATCCCTGACTGAAAAAAAACCTCGTGAGAATCTCGAAAGGAAACCTCCTAAGATTCTCACGAGGTTTTCGGACAGAAGTCTCATGAGAAAGACCTCGATAGGTTTGGAACAGATGTCTCATGAGGTCGGGTTTCCGAATAGAGGCGCGACTTGCCTTATTGTGGCCCATTAGCTAAGAAAGGTCTCGTAGGACTCAACTTGCAAGATCCGACGAGTCCTTAGAGGGGAAGTAATCAGATACCCTGAATAGATACCCCGAATTAACGCCTCAGAGAGCTCGTTGGTGAAACGATGCCTGGACCTCCAG